CATTGCTACACTCCCCAGGGATCCATCAGTGCCCCTCTTTTCGATGTCTGACCCACGGTGGAAAATCCGCGGGCCAAACTACAAAAACTGCCCATATTAGCTGCATGAGGAGATTATTTTGCCCGTGTGAGAGGCAGTTCGGCACCGATTTTTCTGCCAACATACCACACACATTGCTATGCTCCCCAGGGATCCATCAGTGCCCCCGTTTGCGATATCTGACCCACGGTAGAAAATCCGCGGGCCAAACTACAAAAACTGCCCGTATCAGCTTGTTTTGCCCGTGTGAGGGGCAGTTCCGCACCGATTGTTCTGCCAACATACCACACACATTGCTATACTCCCTAGGGATCCATCAGTGCCTTTCTTTGCGATATCTGACCCACGGTGGAAAATCCGCGGGCCAAACTACAAAAACTGCCCGTATTAGCTTGTTTTGCCCGTGTGAGGGGCAGTTCCGCACCGATTTTTCTGCCAACATACCACACACATTGCTACACTCCCCAGGGATCCATCAGTGCCCCTCTTTCTGATGTCTGACCCACGGTGGAAAATCCGCGGGCCAAACTACAAAAACTGCCCATATTAGCTGCATGAGGAGATTATTTTGCCCGTGTGAGAGGCAGTTCCGCACCGATTTTTCTGCCAACATACCACCCACATTGCTATACCCCCCAGGGATCCATCAGTGCCTTTCTTTGCGATATCTGACCCACGGTAGAAAATCCGCGGGCCAAACTACAAAAACTGCCCGTATTAGCTTGTTTTGCCCGTGTGAGGGGCAGTTCTGCACCGATTTTTCTGCCAACATACCACACACATTGCTATACTCCCCAGGGATCCATCAGTGCCTTTCTTTGCGATATCTGACCCACGGTGGAAAATCCGCGGGCCAAACTACAAAAACTGCCCATATTAGCTGCATGAAAAGATTATTTTGCCCGTGTGAGAGGCAGTTCCGCACCGATTTTTCTGCCAACATACCACACACATTGCTATACTCCCCAGGGATCCATCAGTGCCTTTCTTGGCGATATCTGACCCACGGTGGAAAATCCGCGGGCCAAACTACAAAAACTGCCCATATTAGCTGCATGAGGAGATTATTTTGCCCGTGTGAGAGGCAGTTCCGCACCGATTTTTCTGCCAACATACCACACACATTGCTATACTCCCCAGGGATCCATCAGTGCCTTTCTTTGCGATATCTGACCCACGGTAGAAAAACCTCTCCAAGTTTGTCCCCTTGATATGTTGTACTTTTGAAACAGTTTAAAACCCTTTCTATTTGCCTCCACAAGAAGAGCTGCAGCTACTAGGACAGGTATATGTCATAAACAGAAACATACGGCTGCTGACCACCAACATGCATGTGCTGTTCTAACTCAATGCTTCAGTTACATGCACAACCTCTCAAACCCTGTTGCGCACTCAAAGAATGACTAGAGAAGAGAAAAGGGCATGACATTTTCAGACGACTAGGTTTCAAGTTTTTCACCAATATTTTCACCTGAAAAACTGGTGAATTTTGAGCTGGAAAATAAATTTAAAATAAATTCACATTTTTCACCCGAAAAACTTGAATTCAAATATTTCAAGTTTTTCACCTCAGTTCCAAGTGAAAAATGTCTGAAAAATGTTTTAACTTTTTCAGTTGTATTCTTGGTGTAAAATGGGCTGAAAAAGAACATGTATATTTCATTGTATTTTTCACCAAAAATTACAGTAGAAAACAATGTGAAAAATATGTGAAAAATGTGAACCCCAGTTTCAAAATTTTCACAATTTTTTCACCACATTTCTTTATCGCTTTTTTCACAATTTTTTCAGCACTTTTCCCGCTGAACATTGTTGTGAAAAATGTTTTACATTTTCCACCCCAATTTCCGGGTGGTAATAGAGGTGAATTTTGAGGTGTAAAACTCATGAATTTTGTTTCAAGTTTTTCACCTTGAATTCCACTTGAAATAGTGGTGAAAAAAGTTTTAAAATTTTCACCTCTTTTCTCAGTGAAAAATGCATAAAAATCTCACTGAATTCTGGGTGAATAGTTGGTGTAAAACATTATGAATTTTGTTTCAAGTTTTCCACTATGAATTCCACTTGAAATAGTGGTGAAAAAAGTTTTAAAATTTTCACCTCTTTTCTCAGTGAAAAATGCATAAAAATCTCACTGAATTCTGGGTGAATAGTTGGTGTAAAACATTATGAATTTTGTTTCAAGTTTTCCACTATGAATTCCACTTGAAATAGTGGTGAAAAAGTTTTAAATTTTTCACCTCTTTTCTCAGTGAAAAATGCGTAAAAATCCCGCTGAATTTTGGGTGAATAGTTGGTGTAAAACATTATGAATTTTATTTCAAGTTTTTCACCTTGAATTCCACTTGAAATAGTGGTGAAAAAGTTTTAAATTTTTCACCTCTTTTCTCGGTGAAAAATGTCTGAAAAACAAACGACATTTTTCACCGTAAATTGAGGTGAAAAATTTGAATCTCCCAACCAGTGTCTAGCATTTTAAATCTAGTCGAATGTCCCAGTCGATCGAGCGTCAGATAGATCTTTTATCAAAGTTCGGTGATCCGATACTTTTTCGGACTCAGTGTACATGCTGAGTATTTCCCGAGTATTATTTCGACAAAAGGATTGGGTTCCAGCACTATTCTCCAGTGTAAATCCCGCTATTCAATTCAGAGGTTTGTAAATCCAAGTGAAGGTGTTTTGTCTATTGAGACATGAGCTGGTAGAGATTCAGAAAAGTGAGGAACTTGAAATCTTGCAAATCTCAACTCTTGCGGATACATATTGTGGCTAATAACGGTTCGCGGCATACTAACACAATGATTTGCAAGTAAACCCCAAGTTCAGCCAATTTTAATGAGGGGGTACCTGCAAATCTCTATCGCTCACCTACTTTCCAAATGCAGTACATTACGGTGGAGACATCCAATTCAGCCTATTTTCCTGGAATAAATTATCCTGAGGGTGGAGTTAGAGGATGTAAGACACCCTGCTCTGTTGAGGTTCTTGTGGAGTGGTGAATGTTAGTGAGAGTCTGATGGCAATAATTATGATTGGTATACTTCCCACTCAACTTATACAGGGGTATCTGGGGTTTTGATACATCGCGAGGTTCTAATGAGAACGAGACCCGCAATGTATCGTTGGTTCTAATGAGAAGGTCGGCGATACATCACCTTAGAACGCTTTCCTTTTTCAAATGGCAGGGCGCGTGGCCGATCTTTGATTGTACGGCGGCGTTGTCCCGAGGTTTCGTGGTCGGGGCGCGAAGGGCGCGAGCGGGGTGGCTGTACCTACCGTTTTCGGTACTTTTCACCTCGCTGTCTGAGGGACCTGCAGTTTGTCGGTGCACTTACTAAACATGTTGAAGAGTAACTACCTATGGTTCTACGTGCGTGGGCTGGGCGTAGCCCTTAGAACGAGCATCGCAAGTTGGGCCGCATTGGGCGAAATGAGCGTGGAATCATCATTGTTTGTAGTTGTTAGCTTCCCCTTCCCTCTCACTACCACCACCATTGCGCCGTTCCCCGTTCCTCTGGAGGCCCTCTGACAGAACATTATACCCAGGGCCCTGCCCGCGATCCCTCAGGCTTTCAAACAAGGCTCCAAATGCTCGTGGGGCTTCAAATTATGTAGGTCCGCCACCCCCGGCTCCCCTGCTTGCACCCGCCCTTCCGCCCCTCGGTTCACCCTAGCGACGATACCCCTGCCGTTAGGGGACCTTGCCCCAACATGCAGCTCAATTTTCTAGGCTCCCACTGCCCTTGCACGTGCGCCACGATCGATTTAGCGCCCGGTGCGCTCCCCCGCTTGCGCCCGCCCTTCCGCCCCTCGGATCACCCCGGCAGCGACACCCTGTCGTTTGGACACCTTGCCCCAATACGCACCTCGAGCAGCTAGGCCCGTGCTGGCCCTGGGCGTCGTCCATGACCGGTTCAGCACCCGGTGCGCTCCCCCGCTCGCACCGGCCATTCCGCGCCCGAATCCACCCCAGAAACGCTTCCATCACCTCGAGGTGCCTTGCCCCCGTGCGCACCTCAAGTCTCCGACCTCCTACTAGCCCTGCGCGTGCGCCACGGTCGGTTTAGCGCCCGATGCGCTCCCCCGCTTGCACCCGCCCTTCCGCCCCTCGGTTCACCCTAGCGACGATACCCTGCCGTTAGGGGACCTTGCCCCAACATGCAGCTCAATTTTCTAGGCTCCCGCTGCCCTTGCGCGTGCACCACGTTGGATTTAGCGCCCGGTGCGCTCCCCCGCCCTTCCCGCCCCTCGGATCACCCCAGCGACGACACCCTGTCGTTTGGGGAACCTTGCCGCAATACGCAGCTCAATTTTCTAGGCCCCCACTGCCCTTGCGCGCGCACTATGGCCCATTTAGCGCCCGGTGCGCTCCCCCGCTTGCCCCGGCCGTTCCGTGCCCGAATCCACCCCAGAAATGTGTCCACCACCTCGAGGTGCCTTGCCCCCGTGCGCACCTCAAGTCTCCGACCTCCTACTGGCCCTGTGCGTGCGCCACGGCCGGTTTAGCGCCCGGTGCGCTTCCCCGCTTGCGCCCGCGCTTTCCGCCCTCGGTTCACCCCAGTGACGATACCCCAACACGCAGCTCAATTTTCTAGGCTCCCGCTGCCCTTACGCGCGCGCTACGGCCCATTTAGCGCCCAGTGCGCTCCCCGGCTGGCGCCCGCCTTAATTCACCCCAACGACGCCTTCTCCACCTCAGGGTACCCCGCCCTGATGCACACCTCGTGCCTCTAGGCCCTCAGGCGCCCCGCGCGTCGTCCACGGCCTCTTTATTTACAGTTCTTTTTTTGTTTTATTATTCCTTCCTTTTATTCGCACCGTCCTACTTTAGTAACCTCTCGTAACTTGAAATAAAAAGATTCCGGCACATACAATGCTTCCTTAAGTAAGATCCAGTGCTTAAGGTGAAGAAAAGTAAAGATGGTCGTACCTGGAGTAAAAGTACAGAGAGTCCTCAATTAAGTCGACAGGGAGACTCGAACGCGCGACTGCTGCCGAAAGAATTATGCAGCTACTGTAAGCGCGTTAACCACTACGCCATGTGAACATCGATTGTTGGTCACCATGCTCAATAACACGTCCTTTTTCTAATCTCCTAGATCTGTTAAAAAAATATCATTCTAAGTCCACCGCCGGTCAAACACAAACAAGAAAACCTCAGCTATCTACACTAGAAATAAAACTATCTAGTTGGTCTTGCGTTTCTTCCTGCGGACCCCGTCAGATTCAGACAGTCATTGGAAAAAGAAGAGGGGTAAACGACCTTGGTGCATTCGCAGCGCTGTCGTTCTCATCCGTCTTTTGCTTCTTCCCCTCTTTCTTGGAGTCCTTACGCTTGTTCATCAACGCCTCCAACAGTTCTGCGTCGTCGTTGGGGTTCCTCGGCGCCCGCTTGTTCCTTCCCGGGCGACCGACCTCGG